TATATATATATATATATATATATATATACTAATACATATCGATATTAATAAATTTGTATCCTTTTTTGTCAACAATATACTTTTAACAAAGAGCTCCGTTCCTGTATATAAATTTACAAATCATACCATCTCCTGCGCTTCAGGGGGAGTTACTACGACTTCAAGCACATGCATGCTGTACGCGAGCGTGACTATTTACGCGCGTACGAGAAGCAGCAAGATCAGCTGAAGCTGATGAAAAGGGCCGGCATGTCCAAGCAGAAGGCCGAGGCTAAGGTGTGTTCGTAGTTAAGGCTGAGGCTAAGGTGTGTTCGTAGCTAAGGCTGTATATATATGTAAGTGTGGCTGCATTGTTACTGAAAGGCAGTTTAGGCAAGTTTAAATAAAAAACCGAGGCTAGATTGGTGCGAGTGCCTGCATCTTTGTATGGTTGTGCGAACCTACACGTGTAGGTGTGTGTGGCTGCATTGACTTACACTCATATTCTGCTCAATGCCTATAACAGGCCAAGGACAACACCAAGGCAATTAAGCAAAAGGGTGCAGGCAAGAAGGGTAAAGCAAAATCAGCGATTGATGAAGAGGAAGAGAAAATGAATGACATGAGTCTCATTGAGAGACCAAAGGAATACAAAGTCATCTTTGACTTCCCCGCACCACCGGAAATTTCGCCACCTTATATCGAGGTGGATCAAGTGTGGTTCAGGTACTTACACACACACACACACACACATATATATATATATTATATATATATATATATATATATATATATATATATATATATTGTATTTGGTGTTCATATCAAGTTGCGTATATGTATTTATTATATTTTTGCGCTTGTAGCGTTAATATGTAGCGTTCGTTGACACAAGAGGAAGGTAAGTACGAGAAACACGAAAGGAGTACAACCAGATTCTGCTCGACTTCCCCAAGTCGCCACCGATGTTGTTATCAGTCTGTTGTCGGTATATATAGTACGCAGTTGTGCTGGGTGCACATGTGAATGATGTCTTAAGTGTGCGTCTAAACACAGTACGTGCTTCAATCACTCATGCATAGGTACAATGAGAGCAAACCCTTCCTGTTCGAAAAACTGGACTTTGGCGTGGGTCTGGACACGCGCGCGTGTGTTGTAGGTCCCAACGGAAGTGGAAAGTCGACTGTCATCAAACTGTTGTACGGTGATCTGACCCCGAGCAAGGTAAGCGACTATCTTGGTATATACATATATGCATATACTATCTTAATATATACATGGATGCATATAGTATCTGAGTACATACATGATGTATATGATTTCGTTTTAAACTATGTTCCTAAAAATGGGCAGAAGCGAGACCTCTGGCTGGTATTTATGCACAAGACCGCGTGTAATTAGTTCTTTATCTGAAGCTATGCAGCTTGCATACAGACCAACAACGAACTCTGAGATCTATATAAAGTACTGGGCAGTTGGTGCATTGCATCTTTTTGCGTTTAGTGTTTAGGAGAGTGACGGGGCTTCGCACGTACTTCTGTGGCTGTGGTATTTGAGGTCTTCTATGACACGTACTGAAGTAGTTATCTCA